GTCATCGTAAGCCCACCCCTCGGGGGGCGGGCTTAAGATGATCGCAAGTACGATCTGCCTGTCCAAGATGGGCAGATCGTATGTTTTTTTAAGTACTTTACAACCCTCGCAAGACTTTTGTCTTGCGATGGTTGTAAGGTACTTAAAAAAACGTACGATCTGCCTATGCAACATAGGCAGATCGTACGTTTTTTTAAGTACCTTACAACCATCGCAAGACTTTTGTCTTGCGATGGTTGTAAGGTACTTAAAAAAACGTACGATCTGCCTATGCAACATAGGCAGATCGTACGTTTTTTTAAGTACCTTACAACCATCGCAAGACTTTTGTCTTGCGATGGTTGTAAGGTACTTAAAAAAACGTACGATCTGCCTATGCAACATAGGCAGATCGTACGTTTTTTTAAGTACCTTACAACCATCGCAAGACTTTTGTCTTGCGATGGTTGTAAGGTACTTAAAAAAACGTACGATCTGCCTATGCAACATAGGCAGATCGTACGTTTTTTTAAGTACCTTACAACCATCGCAAGACTTTTGTCTTGCGATGGTTGTAAGGTGTGTGCCCAGCCTAAGGATGATGGGCACTGTACAACCGCAAATACTGTACAATCGATCGACTTTTGACTTTCCAGCGGGTTCGAAAATTTCGGTGGAATCGAACGATTTTCTCAAGGTTGGTGGCGTTTCCATACGTCAAAATTTGTACGATTCACACTACTCATGCGCAGACGAAAATACGTGCCGTCGATTACCGCAATTCGTCCAGGTGCTTTCTTCTAAGTACCGCTCATCCAACCTTGCGATAATCGGGGCAGGATGGGGCCGTATGTATGATTGTATGATGTATGACCAATTGTATGATGGTTCGATCATCGGACGAAACGTGTCGTCCAATGATCGGGAGGTGTATGGGCAGCTTTAGATTCATTCACCTGAACCTCAGTCGTGGGGCGGTCAGCACTCTCTCTCCCCCTCTGGCTGTGGAATGTCTCTCAGCGTCCTCACGTGCAGGTGAATGAACCCTAAGGTAAGTATATATTGTTTATTGGAGCCCCAGGCCAGGGGTGGGCAACTCCGGCCCTCCAGCTGTGCTTTATCTACAAATTCCAACACGCCTCTGGGAGTCATGCCAGTAACTGTCAGTCTTGCAATGCCTCATGGGAGTTGTAGTTCCACAACAGCTGGAGGGTCAGAGTCACCCACCGCTGGCCTAGACTAAAACGAGCAGCTAAGCCTTGCAGTACGGGGGGTAGCCCCACTGCAAGGGTTCATTTTTTTAGATTCTCTTTAAGAGAAACACAGGCGACGGGGGCTGGCTTTGAGGACCTCCTCTTTTTGAAAATGCCAGTTCCCGGGCTGCCATTGCATTCAATACTTTTTGAAGCAGAGACTACACATCTCCCCACTCAGCTCTTAGCAACCTGGGACGCTACAGCCAGCATCCCGTGAGGTCACTGGTTGCCAAGAGCCAGGCAGGACGCCGGCCGCAGCGTCCTGGTTGCTAAGAGCCAGGTGGGGAGATGTGTATGGGAGAGGGGCAGTGAAAGAAGATTAAAAAAAGAAACTCGGCACTGTAAAGGTTAACTACTGGTTTTGGTCGAGGTGGTAAAAACAAATAAAGCTATACTCACCCAAACTGGCTGGCTGTCACATCGCTCCCTCCAACCTCTCTCCTCTTACTCCGCAGTGATAGTATGTTCCTTGGCGTCCCCAGACTGTGTTTTGGACAAGGTCACTTGAGCATCCTTATAGGGGGAGAAAGACTGGAAGGGCCGGTCTAAGAGCAAGCTGGCTCTGAGGATCAGGTGAGTATAACGTTTTTTTAGCACCTACTGTAGACAAAAATGAGCCGTTAACCTTTGCACTGCATGGGGGTAGCCCCACTGCATGGGTTCATAAAAGTTTTGCCTGGAGTTCTGCTTTAAAATGTTATAAAAGCCACTAGAAGTACTTTGTATTATTTAAGAACTACGATGGCTACCTGTCTTGTATTGACGGGTGCTGCTATACATGACAACGCTACTCTACTTAAAAGGAGGAAAGCCAGTGTGATGACATCGCCCCAGGGCTGGGTCCATGACAGCCTGGGCTCACAGGAAGTGGGTTGGATGACGCTGGCCACCATTCATCAAGTAGACAAAGCACAAAATTCAGTAATACGTTTGTAAAAAAATATATATTTTCTGTGTTTTGTTTGGAAGCTGGATGAACATTATGTACAAAGCTATAGGGGGCTATTCACGATTCTGTAGGCGCCGAAGGATCTTGCCCTGCCTTCGGCTCTCTTTGGCCGCCGGAGCCCTTCGGTTCAGTTGAACTAAAGGGCTGCTGTACGGGCAATTCACAATAGCCCGTACAGCAGCCGAAGGCGGCCAAGCCGAAGGCATATGCTTCGGCACGACTCAGCCGAGGTGACGAACAGCCGCAGCAAAGCGAACAGCCTGCCGAAGGCTGACCGTAAGCCCCGCAAATGACAGCTGGGCTGAGCCAGCAGTGATCCCACGGTTGGCTCCGCCCAGTTGTAATGACAGATCAGCGCCCCCAAATGACCTAGGGACACTGATCTGTCATTAAACAATAACAAGACTGAAATCAGCCGTACTGAGCCGCAGTGAATAGCCGAACAGCGTTCGGCTCATTAACTTCAGCTGGGTTATTCACTCGGCTGCCTTGGGCATCTATGTGAATGACCCCCATAATCTTTTCCAAATGTTGGGACTGTAACAGGAAATGAAGCCCGTCTTACACTCTGTCCTGTTGCTGGGACAGGCTGTTATTATAAGAAATGGACTCTAATCGAGCAATCCATCCTCCCCATTCCAAATACACACAACATTTCCTCTACACTTGTTGATGATTTGTATCCCGGAGTGTCCCTTAAAGTAAACCTGTCATGAGAGATTGATGGGTGCTGCCATTGCTGACCTCCTTCTAAGGTTGCTTGGGTGCTATGCTGACCCGCTGACTTTATTAAATGATTAGGTTAAAGGTGCCCATACACTGCACGATTCTCGTCCTAGAATCGCGGGAAATCCTGCGATCGTACAAGAATCGTGCAATGTATGGAAGACGTGCGACCGTTTCTACTGTACGGTCGCACGTCTTCCGTGGAACAAGCAGGCTGGAAAACCCGCCGGGAATCGTACGATTCTCGGCGAGTTAGTGGCCTGCTTGTTCGACAACTGCCGAACGGGCCGGTGTGCCCACGCGCACACTGCCCGTTTGCAGTTCTCGGAAGCCTGCCCCTCATTGCAGTCATCGCAAGCCCGCCCCTCATTGCAGTCATCGCAAGCCCGCCCCTCAGGGGGGCAGGTTTGCGATGATCGCAAGTACGATCTGCCTGAACAAGATGGACAGATCATTTTTTGAAGTACTTTACAACCCTCGCAAGACAAAAGTCTTGCGAGGGTTGTAAAGTGTATGGGCACCTTTAGGATGTGTATCTTTCCCCCAGAGGACAACTGTTGTTCTGGGGGAGTCATTCAAAGCAAGAAGTCAGACAGTATGACAGCCAGGTAACTAGCACTGTCAGAAGGAAAGCTTAGCAATGGCACACACCATAATATATTATTATTATTACATAGTATTTATATAGCGCCAACAGTTTGCGCAGCGCTTTACAATATAAGGAAGACGTTACAATCACAATACAATTCAAGACAAGATGGTAAGGAGGGCCCTGCTCGTGAGGGCTTACAATCTGAAAATATATATATATACAGTGTATATATATATATATATATATATATAT